AGAATTTTGGTGTTTTCTGTATCTTTGGAATTATTATGATTTATGAGTTATATGATTGGAACTTTGTATAAGTGTTGTTTTACTTATGATTATATAAGGCGTTTTTAAAGTATTTTTCTCTAAAAATGTTTTACAAAATTATATATGTATCAAATTATATTATTTACGGGGTTGGGTGGAACTTACTTAGCATTGTTGCTAATTTTGTTTTCTTTTGTTTTTTTTTCTTTCTGTACTTAATTTTATACAGGTGATGATTTGACGAGGTTGTTGATTTCGAGAGAGCCTCCGCTAGAAAATGTAGCTGTAGTATTCAATGTAGATAATTTACAAGATCTAAATAATCATTTTGGAGTTTGAGTATTTTTAGCCTGTGCACTCGGTTAAGAGAGAACCGAGTGTGGCGGTAACGCCCCTATTTTCCTTTGAATATTTTCCGCTGTAAACTCTGATGTTTTCAAATAAAAGTTCAATATTTCTTTTGAATAATTTTATATTTAAATATATTTTTAGGTGGGAAATTTGGGGGTGTTACATCTTCTGACCGGATGCTTCCTTCATTGACCTCTGCACCTCCATTGCAATTGGTCTCTCTCTGCTTTAGTTTTATTAATGCTTCAGCTTTAGCTTTTAATTCCACCCAGTTTTGGTCAACAGGATGATTTGTGATTGCCTTACCAGTGTCATTGTCTGAGGAGTAGGCCTTGGAAGCTAATTCAAATTCAACCTCAGGGGATTGATTGAGCTCTTTTAGGTGAAGATCATCCCTGACTTCATTAATTCATGTATCATGACAGTCCTCCAAAACAACTTATTGATTGGTTGCCTGATTAACTTGTAATAGTTTTGCAGGAGGTTCTTCAATGACAATTTCCTCAATGTCATTATCACTCTGTTCTCCTGAGTACACTTGTATAGCTAGAGTGTGTGATGTAGATTGAATGTTTGAGTTATTTACTTCTGTAATCTCCTTATTTTTCCCTTTCTCCTCAGCTGTAAATTTTCTGGAATTACCAGGCTTGGAAGCTTCAGTCTGAAGTGCCTTAGGCACAGATTCCTTGGGTTTTTGAACCCACATCTCCTTCGTAATAACAGCCTTACCTGGCTGCTCAGATTGAACCACCTCCCCTTTGAGACATTTGGATTCCTAATGACCCAAATGGAGGCATGATGTGCAGTAATCTGGCCTGTTCCGTAAATAATAGTCTGCGCAAAGCCTTTAGACCCACAATTTATCCTCACTTTTTGTGGCATTTCCTTAGTTAAATCCAATTCCACACAAACCCTTGCCATATAGGGCTTGGCCAGAGAGGCTGTAGCCGCATCCATCTTGAGAGGTTTCCCAATTAATCCAACAATTTCAAACAAAGCTCTCTTATCATGTAGATGGATAGGAAGACCTTCCAGCACAAGCCACACTGGCACAACAGGTGACTCCACATTAGGCCAAAAATCTAGAGACCATTTAGTCACTCTCATAATACTGCCATGTATAGACCAAGATTGTCTATTCCAGCACCTCAAATAGTCCTCTTCAAGTTCGAATCTGAGTAGCACATGTTTGGGATCAAGCAAGCCCAAATGAATACAAGGCATACCCTTGAAACGTGATGCCTGGATAGTAAGGGCCTTTTCTCGATTAGTGACCACATCAACAAACGATTTACTACCCCATAACGGAGGCTGAGGCGGCGGCGGCATCGCCGCCGAGGATTGCGCCGTCAAACTCCACTCATAAATAATACATTTACATTCATTAGTTTGTGCTGTTTTCTTGTGTGACTCAACCAAAACCAGCATTTCACCATCAATGATTAACCATCGGTTCGTTGATCGTTTCTAGTAATAATTAATGTCGGAATGTTAACTAATCGTCACTTAGCAACCCTCCAACATTAATATAGAATGAGATTAACGGAAGAATTTATAATCAAGAGAAGAAGTTAAGAAAATAACTCACAACTTTAATAATCAACAAGCTTCAAGAGAAAAACCAAGAAATGGAAGTTTAGCTCCTCATTTGGAGACTAAACATGCTATAAAAATATAAGAAATAACTATTCTAAACTGAGCTTAAGTATATGGAAGAAGGGATGATTATTAGTGAAGGAAAAGTGTGATATTTATAGGTGTTTTTCAACACCTTTGGCCGGGTACCTGACCGGGTACCGGTCCAAATTAAATATCTTCCACGTTCTAGTGTCCTTCAGCACGTCGGATTGTCCTTGGTCAAGTCTCACCCGATCGGGTGAGGTAGTGGGCCCGACCGGGCCATGTAGTTTCCTTGCTAGTTCGGTTTTCACTTCTTACCCGACCGGGTGACGATTTATACCCGGTCGGGTTTTAGCTCGTGGGTAGTCAAATCTCTTTTTTCTTCACTTCAAAGTTCTCCTTTCCAACACCCTAATTCCTAACTCTACTTTACAAGTTACAAATGAAGATTAAAATACAATTACAACTAAAATCACACAAATGTTCACAAACTAAATAAAATGGTAAACAATCCACACAAATCAAACATAAAAACATACATTTATGCACTACTAATTAGTGCATATCAGCAGAGTAGCAAGGGCATGGCAGCGATGAAGGTGACCGCTAGCGGTGGATTTGCTACGAGCGCGGGACAAGGAGAGTTGCACGGATTTCGAGCAGGCCAGATGACGATTGACAATGGAGGATCAATTAGAGTGGTACCAAGGATATGGCCTCCTCCTGAACCACCGCCATGGGTTTTACGAGGTGCTAGATTCCATGAATGTTTTCCTATTAGTTATTATTATTCTGTCATTTGGCTTCTTGTTGTCGTCTATGTTGTTAGGTTTGTCAGTTTGTTTGGGAATTCTGCCTTTTTTATGTCATTGAATATGTTTGGATCTATGGGAATAGGGATGACTGTGTCAAGCCCGCTACATGGTTAGCGATTCACGTTGCTCTTTCAGGGGTGACCGTCTCTAAGTCTGATAATAGGGTTTACAGTCGTAGTTGTTGGAATTTAGTTAGTGTCAATTTTGTTTTTTCTTTGATTAATGTAATGATCCTGAAACTTATGATACGAAAGAAGGCTAGTTGACGATAAAAAAAGAATGTCACATTGTTCTGGATATTGTTTGACATTGTTTTGCACTGTTTTGTTTATCAAACAAGGAAAGTGGACTTTTTTTATGAACGACCCGAAAAGAAAAGGACATTTAAATACTCCCCCTGCCCCGAAAGAATGTCCTAGTTTGACTTCATACATATTAAGGAAAGAATATGACTTCACGCTATAGCGACACTGTTTGACACTGTAGCGACACTGTTTGACATTGTAGTGACACTGTTTGACACTATCTTGCACTGTTTGACACTATTTGATATAGATTTGTATATCAAATAAGGAAGTTCAAGAAGTAGGATATTCATTTAGGGACTTCCTTTTTGGGAAAGTGAGACATTCTTTCGGGAGGGAGAGAGTAGTTTTTAATAGGGGTGGGCACGGTTCGAGACAGAACGGGGTCAGGTTTGGGTTATCCTGGTACCTGTCCTGAATTAGAATAACGGTTCGGAACGGGACGGGACAAGACATTGTCTTATAGTTGTCCCATTTAAACCAGTACCGGAACAAACCGGGACGGTTCGGGACATCCCGAAATTTATTATATGCAGCGAAAAAACTAAATCACAAACAAAAAAAAGAAATTCCATTAAAAAAACAGAAAATAAGAACACGAAAAACACTACAACAAATAAGAAAAGTAGAAAACTGTAAATAAATTAACAAAAGTATGCAGGGCAATAAATACAACAGTCCCTACCACAACATCCAAAACCTGTCAATATAATACTCCATATACTTTTATGCATTTTAAAAGATATAATAAACCTCACAAATTATTGCTTGTAGTTGAACCTGCGAGACTGCGATCTCTCCCTTGTGGCACCCAGTGCTACCAACTACCAAGTGAGCTACGCTTTCCGATAAAATTAAATAATTAACCTGACTAAATTAATTTAATCAATCTATGAGATAGAGGAAGTATAATTGGGAAGTATTTTATGCATCTATGTGTTTCTAAAAATAAAGAATTATTGCTCATTTGGTAATATCAAAATCGGCTGAATAAGCTAATTCTAATCTGGTGAAATTTATGAAATTCTGGTTGAAGTGGCTGATTCTACTGATTTATGAAAAATAAATATTAAAAATACACTACGTATTTTATTAAGAAAATAAAGAAAAAATTACATGTAGAATAGCTAAAATGATCATCTACAATATCTTTGGCCAATATTGTCAGAAAAGTAACTCCAGTCTTAATTTTTCTTATTATTTCACAATTCAACGCGAGAAATCACAAGTTACGTGTTTTGTAAAAAAGTTCACTGATAAGCTGAAAAAACAGGGTTACCAATCGGGCTATTAATATAATTAATTTTAATTTTACAAAAAAATGATATTCCCAATACGTAGTATATTTTACTTAATTGGCACTTCATATTTTCATTATAACAATACTTAATTGGCACTTCATAATTTTGTAAAATAATTAAGTATATATTCGGTCCAAAAAAAAACTTTTTTTGACATTCCCAATACGTAGTAGTATCCTTAATAACAATACTTAATTGGCACTTGATAATTTTCATTATAAAACATATTCTATGTGGTTCAATTGAATATATAAGATCAATTAAACATTAATGAAAACGAAATGTTACATTATGTAGGGATAATAAAGGGGTGTTTGGATCTGATTCTTAAAACTGCTTCTATTCTTCTTAAAAGTAGAAGTTGAAGTGTTTGGGTGAGAGTGCAAAAGTGATTCTGGTGCTTTAATTTACTCCTAGAATTAGCTTCCGGAAACTTATTCTGATTCTGGTTCGGCTTTAGAAAAGAATCAGAAGCAGAATCAGTTCCAAACACTCTCTAAGTCAAAAGTAGGTTACCGTTTTTTGACATGCCCAGGCCAATACACATATAAAAATTATTGATTAATGGTATATGCAAGCCTATATGTGTTTTATTATTATTTTTTGGATGAAAACGGCTTACATTAAAATCAAACTATTTGGACAGTAGGTAAAAGGGCAATGTAACTTGAGAGAACCGCCATCTCGCGAACTAGAGTCCGAGTTAATCACCTCAGTAATATAACTCGTTGATCCAAAAGTGGGCACAACTGAGCCAGTGACAGTAATCACGGTTAGATCATCACCCACATCCAAATTCAGAATCATCGTTTTACAACCAGAATCAAAGCAAAAAAACCAACAAGAAAATAAAGAACAATCTGAAACGAAAAGAAAAAAGCAATAAAAGATAAAATGATCGGATCCTCCAATCAGAACAATGCAGCACCAATCGGACCCCTCTTGCCTCTTTCCTGCCCTTGACAAGCTTACCCCTCTAAGCCCGTCTCCCCTCCATTTTTTGTTCCATCCAGAGCCATCTCGACCCCTCCTTGATTTTGAGTTGTCCCTATTTCCCAGATACGCCTGTGTTTCTGCTCTCCAGAAGATTCTTCATTATGTTCCAGAACCACTTCCTTATTAGAGCCACTACCCGAGTCCACCGTATCCTCCTTTTCTCCTTGTGCTCTTCCATCCGAACCCTGATCCTCCCATCTCTGCGAATTCCTGCCCGAAGAACCCTCCCCAACCAACCATTTATTTTTTCCTGTAGGGCTGATCTTCACCCCACCTCCTACCCTTAGTGACGCATCAGACCTTTTTTCCAGAACTAAGCCTTCCTCATACATGCATAAGTGGGCAAAATTTCTCAGAGTGCCCAATGACTCCGCAGACAAAACAAAAATTAGATAACTTCTCATTCTGAAAATCCACCCAATATCCAACTCCCTCTTTTTTCAGAGTTGTGTCCTTTTTCAGAGGAGTTTCCACATTAATACATGCTCAAACACGCACATAAGATGTCCACTATTCCCCATAATTATTTTTATCATAGCTCACAAACCTACCAAGAAAATTGCCCACTTTTCTAGCAGTTCCTAAATTCAGCAGACAGTAGGCAACATTATGTACCCGTACCCAGAACTCCGCTTCATTCAGATGAATCTTATGTGGAATATCAGTAGGTTTTATTTCTTTCACAATCTGTAAATTTCTCCCAAACTGCCAAGGACCCCCATCAATCACACGCTTCATATCAACAGGATGATTAAAGTTAAAAATATACCTTTTCTCCTCGATCTCCTTGATCTCCACGCCTCTTCCTGCTCTCCAAATCGACGTCATCGTCTCTCTGAATGCTGGAAAATTAATCTTCATGTCCGTAATTAGCGCGCTCACCACAGGGAAGACCGGCCGCTCCACTTCACTGGAATCTTCCCCGGCTTCAACATCATCATCACAAACCAGCTCCGCCTCCTTGTCTGCCATGCTCATCTTCCCTGCAACCCCAGCCTCCGATCAAAACCCATCCCCAAAGCCTCCCCGGTCTCGAGACCACTGCAATTTCGATCCCCCGAAGCCCGATTCGCACCACACTAACGCCCTCCTGACTCCGTCCTTCCCTATCGCAGCCGAAATCCCGAAAACACCGAAGTCGCCGAGATCGGACCAAAAAAACCTAACAACACTAAAATTTGAGTGAACTGTCTTATATGACCATGCATACATAATATACATAAATAAAATAACTAATAAGTATGTATTCGGTCAAAATATATTATGAAGAGGATTGAAACGTAGAATCTAAGAGTTAATTACTCATATAGGAGTAAAAGTAATAGAAATTGCACATAATAGGAGTATAGACGGTAATAAAGTTTAGTAGGAGTAAAATATACATGGGTGGACGAAAATAACCCTAAACTATTTATGAGAAGAAATTGGATAAGTGGTGGAGTGGCGGTCTGCACTTATCCCCAATTCGCAGTAAAGAACCCTAAACTACTTTTGGGAATGACAATTCGCAGCGAAGAACTTCTCTCTCATGCCATCTCTTGCCGCCCGCCGTCATATCCCTCCAGTGCCTCCCTCACAGGTGTTATCAACCACTGTCGTTCAGGCCGGACTCACCGTCCGCCGCCGCCGCCACTTTGGTTATCGTAACCCCCTTTTATCATAATTGTCACCACTGCCAATTCCTAGGCCACACCGCACCCCCGAGCACAACCGTCTCCGTCACAACTTCAATGTCATAATTCTGCCATTAAATTAGCAGATTTAGCATTGAAAAATTAATTTCAGATTTTCCATGAACAAGAATTTTGAATTTGGCATAAAGTTGGCAAATTTACTTTGGAATATAAATTCAAAAGTGCCATAAATTTGGCAAAAATATGAACTCAATAACCATAAACTCAAAAAATATTATTTTTAATGGAATAATCACTTTAAACAATCGGAAATCAGAAAAATGAAGTTAATTACAAAAAAATCTAAAGAACATGTTCACAAAAAAGTATTTCTTCCATATATGATTATCAATCGACACACTTCTTCCATAAACTTGGCAAAATCTGAAGTTTTTTACAGTAACTTGGCAGGATCTGAAGTTATCATCCAAAAGTTTAGAAAATCAAATTTTTTAAAACTAAGAACTCAGAAATCGGAAGTGCTAAATAGAAATGTGAAAATTGGAAAAATCAATTCAAATCCAGAAAAACAATGGAATAGGAGTGCAATAAAAAATCATGTCAATACTCAGAAAAAAATAGAAGGAGATGAAGAAGGAACCTCATAGGCGGTGGTGCATGGTGAAGTAAGCGGCGCCAAGAAGTTGATCAATGTTGTGTGTGTAGGCTGATTCGGCAATAGTGAGAAGGGGAGGGGCATGTTCAAGAGAAAAGGGGGGAAATGGGATATCTGGCAGGGGAAGGGAGACAAACGTGGGTGTGAAAAGGGGGATAAGAAAATATATGCGCAGGGAGAAGAGCATAAGGGGATAAGGGATAATAATGGAATGCAAAATTCTAATGTTTTCAATAGGAGTAAATTACTCCTATTTGGAGAAAAAAACATACATACTTCTATTTAAGAATTTCCCACTACTTTTGCTCCTCTATGAGACAATTTCTCTAGAATCTAATTACATAAATTGCAACTTTCACCAAAATTCAAATAATTAAAAAATATATGGAAGTTATTACTGTTATATGGAGTATTTATTAATTAGTCAAGAAAAGTTATATAATTGATTAAAAAGAACAATAAACCAATCACCGAAAATATATGCGGTGACTAAAAAGATCTTCATTTCCATAAATAATAACGAAGTTTTTGAAGTCAAACTGTGTAGAAACTCCAAAATAATATAATTACATTTTTATTCCCTAATTAAATAAGAGTAGTTACAATAGAATATGACAATATATTTTTGGGGGATTTACCTAGATAGGAGTAAATAAGTTCTTAATTGCCAAAATAGGACTAGTATTTAAAAATTCCCTAAATAAGAATTATTATTTGTAATTGGACAGAAATAACCCTCAACTTAGGAAAACATAATACTGGTGCAGAATGTCCGAACGACGTCGGTCGTCCATCGCCGCCGGTCGCCGGCCGCCGGCACCGCCTCAAAACTGACCGTCATGTAGATCTGCCCGCCGCCACTTCATATTTGGCCGTCGCAGCTGCAAATATGTCCGTCGACGCCGAACGCCGTTGTTGACCGCCGCCCCATCAGATCCGGCCACCACCTCAGCAGATCCGACCGCCGCCTCAGCAGATCTGGCCGCCCCCCTGCGGATCCGGCCTCTGCCGCTGAAAACTGACCTCCACCAGTGCAGATCTGTCCATTGTCTACGCCAATGCCAGATTTTTTTTATCAAAATGCCAAACAAAAATCGAGAATGTCATTTTAATGGCATTTTCAAAGCAAAATATGACATTTTTGAAGAGTAATATTGCCAAATTGATGGCATTTTTGAAACAAAATTTGACCTCTTTTGAAACTAAAAGAAATGAGGTCTGCTACAAAATTGAAGAGGAGGAGAAAACCAGAAAATCAAGTAAGAAGAAGATGACAGAAGATGAGGGGCCGGAGAACAACGAGGTACTTCCAATCGACCACGGATTTGGATGCTTGCTCCGCCGCTTCTCACAGCTACTCGACGACGCTCACTGTTGGTCCCCTCTGCTCACCGCTGTTGCTCGCTGCTCTCCGCCGCTGCCTCACTTCAAAGCTCTCTGCTGCTGCTTGACACAGAAGTTTCTTGTCGCAGAAGATGAAGGACCGAAGAAAGGGAGCACCGTAGAAGATGAAGGAGTTGCTGCGCACGTTTTGACACATTGATTTTTTGATCGTGTTTTAACACATTGATTGGAGGGTAAATTTGGAAAACTTGTCCTATTTAAGGAATAAAATTATAGATGCTCCTGTTTTGGAATTTTATCAACAATTTAGTCCTATTTAGGGCTAATCTTCCTATATTTTTAGGATAACATTAACATACTCGTATAGAAGAAAAACAACATATCATACTTTAAAATAAACTACCTACATTATTTATACTAGTATTTTGTGAATTTCCCTAAACAATACTCCGTATTATGGTGTATAATTTCTTCATAAATTCTATTGATCTAATAATATTATACAAATAATGATAATACAATAAAGCTGTAAGATAATTTTTGTCTCGATCCTCTAGATTTATGCTGTACATTGCACGAGTATTTCGTCTAGTGGTATTTTTGATGATCATTATGGATGTTTTCTTTTGGACTGAAATTTGCTGGTCTGGTTTGATCTGGTCTGATCTGGTCTGGTCTGTTTAAGTCTGGTCTGGTCTGGTCTGAACTGGTTTGGTAAACGTTTGGTCTCTTTGTATTTTATAACTGTCCAGGTCTGGTCTGGTCTGGTCTGGTCTGTTTAAGTCTGGTCTGGTCTGGTCTTGTCTGTTTAAGTCTGGTCTGGTCTGATCTGGTCTGAAACTGAAAACAGTACAAAAGAAAACATCCAATATTGGGGATCCGAGAATAATGATCATCAACGCTTCATCTCGTATTTTTGTACATTATACGAGAACAATCTACAGGATCTTCAATACTGATCCTGTAGTATCCTCAACGCTTCACTGATCGTGTAGTATACCCATCAATCACACGCTTCATATCATGTACATTGTACAACGCTTCATCTCGTATTTGGTCTAGTAGTATACTCCGTGTTTTACAAGAGATTAAATACCAAAAAAACATTATTATATACTATCGTACTATACTAAAATCATTGTGTGAAATAGGCCGGTCAATGGGTTATTTCATTGACCAAATAAACATTATTATATACAATACTCCGTAGTGTTCCAGACCTGGACCCGCTAAGTTAATAATGGACCCAGACCCAACCCGTTTACCCGGCGGGTCTGAAAATTTGGACCCGGACCCAACGGGTCTCGAAATTGGGTCGGGTAGACCCGCCAAATATAATAGGCAAACCATTATAAACTTTGTGAAAATAACAAGACTCGTATATGAAATGTAAAGCAAAGGTGTGCAAACTTAAAAGCAAAATATAACTTCACTTTTAGAAAGGCAAGTTTTCTCATAGAAAATTAGTTTTTTTTATCCAATAAGTTATCAGTTCTTGTATAGGTGTATAAATCCACACTTTGTGCCGTTTTGTCTCGCACAGAAAACTATTAGAATAAACTAGAAATTAAGTCACAAAAATGTCTCTTTGACTACTGAGAGTATAAAAGCATATTATATATATATGATAATGATATAATAATATTAATAATAATAAATATTTTGTTTTGCCTACCGAGCCCAATACACACTTTATTAGTATGTATTTATGGCCAAAATGAGTATTAGTTTTAGGACATCTTACTATCTCAATCGCTAACACTTATACAGTAGGTATGTAATAGTGTGTATATTTTTAATTGAAAAATTACAACTAATAACTTTATGTATTATTTACCTTAAAAAAAACTTCATATATTATTATGTATATACGTGTATGTGTATATATTAGTTTGTATTTTTTATTTGAAGTGTTATAACTAATCACTTTATGTCTTTATATATGTATTAGTGTGTGTGTGTATACAAATGAGAAATTTTCAACGGATTCGGATCCGGGTCCGGATAAGCAAAATAAAATATAGACCCATACCCACTAAAACAACCGGGTCCGGGTCGGGTCCGACCCATTGACAGACCTAGTGTGAAACATAAAAAAAGGTGGGGTCTCAAAACCCAATTAATTTTGGAAAAATTGACAAAAATAATCCCACCTTTCGCCGGTCTTCTCATAATAATCCCACCTTTAGGTAATCCCAGAATAATCCCACCTTTGCACCACATCTTCTTTCATTGGACCCTGACCATGTTTTTTACTCTTTTTTTTTAAAATCATATAAATAATCTCACCTTTCACTTTTCTATTATATATTTATAAATGTGAGATTATTTATATAAGATTTTCAAAAAAAGGTAAAATACTTGATCAGGGTCCAATGAAAGAAGATGGGGTGCAAAAGTTGGATTATTTTGGGATTATGTAAAGGTAGGATTATTATAAGAAGACCAGTGAAAGGTGGGATTATTCTTGTCAATTTTTCCATTAATTTTAGGTGACAACTCCGGTACCTTTCTAAAATATGAGGTACCATACCTATCATTTGTTTGATTGGACCACATCACTTTATCATTTTTAATTTAGATTTAAATAATTCAACTACCAAATTCTCATTGGTCCATATGGACAAAGGTATGGTACCTTATGGGTACCGTAGAATCTACCTTAATTTTAAAATCCATCTCGTCAATCGTCATTAAGAAAACCTAGTTCCAACAATCATATCGTCGCTGCATCCATTCGATTGGGTAAATGGTTGAAGGCGGAAAGCCGAGGATGGAAGAAGACGATATCATCGCCAATCCATCTCGATACCGGCCTCGTGACCCTCCAGTCTATTACTGTGATGGAATCTATCCTAAACTTTGTTAGTTAATTAAACACAAGAGGGTTTGATGCATTTTTTAAATCACAAGGGGCTAACGCGCCGAATTTCCAAATCACAGGGGGGTTTGGTGCATTAAACCCTACGTAGTATATAGTGAAGTTTTGTTTGGCTATGGTGACAAAAGTCTCATTGGTGATGAGATAAATTTATATGGAGTACGTAGTATAAAGAATAGAAGTCGACTCATGTGCCCTACTTTGTTTCTACTATGTATGGAATACTTATCAAGGTTATTAAATGAGAAAACTTCAAAACCTGAATTCAAGTTTCACCTGAAATGAAAGAGAGGATATTCTTAATTTAGTTGGATTCCAGCTAGTGTGTTCCCTGTGAGATACCTCGGTGTGCCTCTTGTTCCTCTCGGGGTTACTGTGGCCCAATACTCCCCTTTGATTGAAAAATAGAGAAGTTTACACTCAAATGGATAACAAAGAATATAAGTTATGCATGTAGACTTGAACTGGTTACAGCTGTGATTGAGGGTATCCAATCATACTGGATTCAGATCTTCCCTATCCCAGTTGCTATCATTGAAAAGATTACCTCCCATTGTAGGCAATTCTTATGGGGTGGGCCAAAGTCAAAAGTTGTTTGAGTGGACAATAAAATAGATTTATAGAGGCGGGACACTTTTGCCTCTAAAAGCATGAAAGTAGCCTCTAATGATAATCACAATAGAGTGACTCAAAAACCCTTTAGAGGCAATATCGTATTTTGACACTAATGTTTTTTTTAGATGCAGCTCATTTTTTTCATGAAAGCTTTTAGAGGCAATCAAATTCTATTACGAATAATATATTATTGAAATTGAATTACTTTATATTTGCAGATCAAATGAAGAGGGAGGACTTGGCTTATATGATTGTAAGTCATGGAACTCTGCCATGCTATTAACAAAAACTCTTTGGAATATTCATACTAAAAAGGATACACTTGGGTTCAAAAGGATCCATAGTGTATACCTTAAAGGAGCTCCATATGGGATTGGACACCACCCTATGGTGTATCCCCGTTAATCTACAAATTGATGAAAATAAAAGTCATTATTCACTATATTGGAAAGTCCGAATGCTACCATAACTAAACTTGCATCTTGCAGTCATCTTGGAAAGCTACAGGCTGCAATAGTTTATGATCTTTTGAGGACTAGAGGGCACAACAAACCTTGGATGGAACAAATTTGGAAGGACTATATCCTACCAAAATTTTCATTTATCATTTGGTTGGGGCTTAGAAACAGACTGGCTACATCTGATAACCTTTTCTATATTGTCATGGATAGAACATGTTGCTTTTGTAAGAATCACTTTGAATCTGTTAATAATTTGTTGTTTAATTGTTTGGAGCAGCTTGATTGGAGATAAAAAAAGTGGCTGAAATTCAAGAATGATATATGCTTCAACTCTCCTTAGTACGGTCAAGATGTGCATCAAATTCTATAAAGGTACATGGATGAGAAGTAAGGTGATCTGACTATCTCTATGTTGTGCGCCTGTGCTATTTACTCTATCTGAAAAGCTAGGAATGATCATTATGATTGATTTCTAACACATGAATTTTGGATATTTTTGCGTTTAAGTTATTGGTGGTCCGGCTGAACTTAGGCCTGTCTTACATTCAATTGAAAAGGGGTATGCCACTTATATATCAAATTGCAATTGAACTTAGGCCTGTCTTAGTATTAAATTCAATTGAACTTAGGCCTGTCTTAGTATTAAATTGCAATTGGCAATGAAAATATCAAGTTATCACCTACGGACCACGGAGTGTTGCGGACCGAAGAAGTGGCTGACACCGACCTGGGACAACGTCAGTAGCCTGATGCATCAATTATCGTCAATATGCCTACCAATTACCGCCGGTCATGGGTGCCACCCACCTGCTTGGAACCCCCCAATACATGGGTTGCAGTGCAGTGTTTATTTGAGTGAATAGGTTAAAATTGGGTTATTCACTTATGGGTTGCAAGTAGCTTTAGGCATTGATTAGCCGGAGATGTGCATGCCTTTAAGATTTTTTTTATAAATATTACTAAATTAAATATAAAAAAATATGATTTATTTTAAATTTTTCCAAATATGACATATTTGGTGACTAGTTTTCAGTGTCTCGTCATCTGCAAGTTATTTGTCACTCTAAAATACACTATCGTGAGTCTTGTGATGTTACTCATGCAGAGTGATTAGTTATTTCTTTGTTCAAAAACATAATTAATTCTATTTTCTTTGTTCAAAAACATAATTAAATTCGAATATGTTTTTTCAATTCACTCCAATAACGCGTTTACATATTTCTCCAGCTTTCTATTTTCTTTTTCTGTTTTCCAT